GCATGCGAGCTGACACATCATCCGTGATGCGTCTACCGGATGAGATGTAGCTTCCCAAATAACAAAACTTTCCTTTCTTCTCCTATTCTTCATCCAAATGGGCAGCCAAAAGACAGCAACCAAAATCGCACGAATATGTATGGTTAATGGTTGTTCAAACTGAACATCAGAAAAGAAGATAACTTATTTAGTTGATTCAGGCACAAGACCAATGGGGCAAGCAGATTTTCAGGTTAGTTTACCTTTAAGCTTTCTCATTATCCTGCCAAAATTTCACCTATTCGTCCAAACAAAGGTATATTGACTTAAAATTTCAAGGATATTCCCGTCCCTGTGAGATCGGATAGATTTTCTGTTCTAAACTTGAGTACAGGCTTGCTACAAGGGAGGACGAATACAAAACTTGGGAGACCTTTGCACTTGGCCTATGCAAGTTTTGAATATGGAAAACAGAATGGACTGGGAAGGTTTAATCTAAAGCTGACTTGGTGGAAGAAAATGGAATCAGTCCAATGCGAATAATATTGATGACCACTTTGTGCACTGCCTGTGAACCACATTAGTGCAAATTGAATACTGAGTCAACGAAATTTTCCCTTTGTGGCAGGTACTACCTGGACGTAGGTAGATCAAGTTACTTATTTTCGTGAATAAAATTAAAATAAACAAAACTTCTGCAGTATACCCTGCGTAACTTATCAATCAACCAAGCTACAAGCGATAGATTCACACTCACCTGTGTTTGTAGTCGAGACAAGCCTCGAATCCATAGAATCTGACCAGTATTTTTCAGTTCTGCATTGGCCAAATGTTCCCTATCCTCATCATCCTCTTCTTCGTCTTCCTCTTCTTCAGCTTCTGGTTGTGGATATATCGCACCCAGACTACGAGCCACAACATTCGCTGCCTTAGCCACAAAGCCTGTACTGGGTCTGTGTGCCGACAAGCCACCGTCAGCAAGTGGTGGACCTGTTGGAGATTCGGCTGCCATGAGGCCTGCAGTTTCTGGACTTATCACATCTCCAGCGTTGACTAATGTGACACGGCGACCTTTCGATGGCTTCCGTCGACGTTTAGGTATAACCCAGTTGGGAATGGTTATAATAAACTATGAAAGATTAAAGAAAAATAGAGAAAATTATACTTGCCTTTATCTTAAAGGCATATTTTAATTTTGTGAGCAATGAATCCCATAGTAAGTATTGGGTATTTACTTAATGAAGAGCATCCAAAGTTGTACGCAAATAACGGAATAATTGAATGAAGATAGGAAGGGTACTTTACTACCGCTTAGTTTTCGTCCAAAATATTTAAAGAGGATAATTGCGTAAACACGCATCATCAAGTTGATTGCCAATAGACTGAAAAGACTTGTAATTGGTTGTGCTTCTGTATTTTGTTTGCCTTTGTGTAACAACTGAGAGTATTCATTTAAAAATTTCAAGTGGAAATTCACGGATAACCCAGTTGGCATAATCACAATTTGTAGTCATGCATTTCAAAAACCACCGCTAGTGGGACTCTGAAAACGTCATAGATGATGGCTTTTACCAGAAAATCTTACCCAATATGCACACTAATTACTGCCGAGAATGTGTATCCAAGTCTGCCACGTCTTCACTGCTGCACAACAGTCTCTATTACATAGAACTAACGCTGTTTGTACGGGGAACGCTAGCAAGTTCATTTGTGCCGGACAGGGATAGATGCTTTTGCTCATAATTAAGTGAAAAGATGAGTTTATCGAGAGATTTCATTTTGATCACTCCCAAGATCTATACGGTTCGTGTTGATTCGGTTCCATTGAATAGTTTTTCTCGAAATGAGCCGCCTGGACGTGCAGGCTGCATTGACAAAGTCAGTGCACACCCCTCTAAGTGATGTCAGGGCTCTGGCAAAATTTCACACCTACCTTAAATCCGACCGATAATTCATTGGTCACTCAGGTATCTTCATGTGTTAAAGATGATACCGTCGAAAATTTACGGACATTGAATGGAGCTTTAAGGTAATTACATTTATTGGAGATTAAAATCTATTCTCAATATCGATCTCCAAACCATCGTACTAGTTCGTTTTAAAAAATGCAAATCTAAAGTGGACGAAAAATTGAACTGCATTGGGCAAAGGGACCGACAACTAACCTAACAAACAGAGTGTAACTGCAAGTGTTTGTTCAG